ATATCTTTGTTATATGAACAGCTTTTCTCGGATGTCATAGACGCATTTGTGGATGTTTTCTTTTCTTTAACTCTGTATGGAATTTCGTCTTTATAGTGCTCGTTTCAAACAATTCCACTCGCCGTGGGCCTCAATAGGTGATGTCTTTACGGCTAACAGTTGAGTTCCTCATCTAGTGATTGTACATGAGAGTAGCAGGCAAGACAAAGCTTATCACGGTTCTTCCTCTTACCGTCCGCGTCTCAAAAACGTCTGTGCCTATGTTCCCGGCGAAAGGGACTGGTTATTTCAGAGTTGCCTTGCAACACAATACAGTGACCCTGACCTTGTGATTGGAAGCCCAGCTGGCTAAATATTCGGCCAACTCGGTTCCCATGACCGTTTTTGTCGGGAAGGGTTGTTACTGCTAACTTTATAATAATTTGAACATTAATTTTTGTTATAAGCTCAAAACCTCTGCTAAAACGAGGTCGCCCAGTTTTAACCTTAAATGGGATAACAGTAATTTAATTTTTGTTTGCGTAGATGTTGAAAAAAAAAACAAAACAATACAAAAACATAAAAATGTAAAAGAAAAGACAGCATTGATGGTACAGTCAGATACACTTAAAAGTAACGAACAGAGACAAAACTGGTGTTCAAACCTTTAGTCCAAAAGAGAGATGTTTAAAACGTCCCGTCGCCACAATATCAAGACTCACATTTCAGCACCCTGGCAAGAACATGCTTATCAGCCGGATGATTTAAACTTTATTTAGCTACATACCAGATTCTTCACTTATCAAGGAAGTGTAGAAAATCTAGAATAGAGAATTGACGATCAGATATTGTGAGAAAAAGGATCAGAACTGATAATATCACTAAACGAAGCGACAGATTCATGGAAAGATGTTTTTTAAAACCTCGACAAAATTTTCACAACTGTATATGTCCCTATCTCCTCGTTGTTGATAACCAAAAGAGATTTGGACAATCCTTATTGATTATTTTTAATGACAATCAGGATAAAATATATAGCAGTGAAATGAAAAAGAAAAACATATAAGATTATCAAACACGTGAAATTTGCGGGAAGAGCCAAATAGTATTCAAGACGCCCGCGGTCGCTTGAAGTGCGTTGTCGTCGAATTAAGCTTAGAATATTATGGGTCAGCAGTGTGTACAGTTAATATTTGGCGCAGTAATTGGCAATTTCTGTCGCACAAACGGTTAGAATGTTTCTGTGATGCTTCTCTGATATAATTGTTTTGTTTTTTATAGATATGTTAACTCTTCTAGACGATAATTTGCTTCGCGCATTGTTTTGCAATTTGGTAAATCGGGCTTCTACTAATTACTCAAGATATTTTCGAATTGGCAGCACAATAAACGCTGTCGAAAATTTGGAAACTTGACAAAAATAATTTGTCAGGGAAAAAAAGCCGTGAAACCGCAGTCAAAGCAGCGCTGGACATCAGCAATAATTTAGTAGCGTGCCTAGATACAAACAATGCCGAAGGAAAGTTAATTGCTTAGAAAGGTTATTAATTTACGTTGACGTAAACTTTGTCACCATTTGGCATATTCAGCGAAGGTCGAAATGAATTGCTAGCACCAAACTGTTTTGAACAAAAAAACCGCGCACGGTGAAACCGGTACGTCACAATCGTCTCTTAGCAACGGCCAAAGAGAAAGCCAGTTTTCGGCATTGTTCATCACAATGCCGAAAAGAAATTCCTTTTCTTAGATGAAAAATTGGTAAGTAATTATTAAATACAAACCGATTAATGCGCCGATTGAAGTCTAAGCGTCGCTCAATTTTCGACAATTGTTCGATTAAGTGTAGCTCTTTAGAGTTTGATAAACTGAAGCGATTGGGTCAAATCGAACCATTACCATAGCAGATAATTTCATAAACAGGACTGATTTTGGCGCTTTATTTTGTGGTTGAAACGAAATAACCACCCGCCATTTACGCTGATTTATTTATTAATTCCAAAACAGGTGTACGGTAAATAATTTAGGTTATTAACTCTCGTTTGAACTTTTCCACGGCATTCATTCGTTCGCGCGGCAAAAACATACCACGCGTGACAAACAAACATACACAACAATCAATCACACTGCGACCCTTTTTTTGACTTACGCTCATTAATAACCGAGTGGTCTGAAACGCGCAATTCTTTTTTATCCAATTCTAAGCTGACTGCGATTCTTTCAGGCGTCAAGATGGAAACTTCGGCCAGAAGACGAACCAAGGATGATTCGACGGCCAAGGAAAGCACTGGATCCGAAACGTGTCTCGATGGAGCAAGAATGCCGACAGAAAATCCTCCTTTTACGCTGAAAGATTTAAAAGATGCTGTACCGCCACATTGCTTCGAGCGATCTCTCCTTACTTCGAGTTTATATTTACTCCTCGATTTGACCGGCGTTTTCGTGCTGTATGCGGCAGCGTTCTGGGTGTTTAACGCATCTTTGCCGGTTTACGTTCACGCCGTATTCTGGCCGCTTTATTGGCTTTGCCAGGGTTGCGTTGGATTCAGCGTGTGGATTATTGCGCACGAATGCGGTCACTACTCGTTCTGTAACAGCAAGCGAATCTGTGATATCGTCGGGCTAATTCTACACACTGCACTTTTTGTCCCATATCATTCATGGCGTATATCGCACGCAAAGCATCACCGGAATACCAATCGAATGGACGGCGACCAAGCATTCGTCCCTAACACAAGAAGCTTTCTGAAGTCGGAGAACGAATTAGAATTTCCAAATATCTTCTTCAGGGTTCTTCACATTGTTAAGTACCTAACAATTGGTTGGCCGGCATATTTGTTTTTTCATGCTCGTGGCAGACCTTATAAAGAATATCGGCTGCGACCGAATCATTTCAACCCTTACGCTCCCATTTTCTCTCCTGGTGATTTCTGGGATGTGATCGTGAGCGATGTGGCCTTGCTTGTGTGGATTGGTATCCTGTTCTATCTCAGCGCCCATGTCTACTCATTCGGGTGGTTGGTGTGTCTGTACGTGGTACCCCTTATGAATGTTAACATGTGGTTGGTGATAGTCACCTACCTGCAGCACTCCGATGTCAGAGTACCGCACTACGCCGACGAGGAATGGACTTGGCTTAAGGGGGCGCTGTGCACAATCGACCGAGATTATGGAATCCTGAACTATGTGTTCCATCACCTCACGGACTGCCATGTAGCTCACCATCTGTTTTCTTACATGCCTCACTATCATATGGCGGAGGCCACCGAAGCCATTAAGCCGATACTTGGACGGTATTATGCCTATGATGGCACCCCCTTTTGGAAAGCATTGTGGAATACTGACAGCTACTGTCGATTTGTCGAAGACGGCGGCAAAATTTTGTGGTATAAATTCTTGCCTGAGCATTGATATAAACACTGAAACTGCCAAAGTTTGATTGTACACAATGAAATGCTGATAGTTATAACCGATTTTTTTTAGCAGAGCGGGGAAATGTCTACTAAGTTCTTGTTAAAACAGCGATGAAACACTTAAACTACGATTCGATTCTAAAAACTTTTTTTTACCCAAAGATTGGAAAGTTTTTATCATTGGTATTGATTAGCCATCAAGTTTGTGATTTTTTTTTGCTCTCTGATGGCAAAATAAATCTGTCATTAAGTATTTGGTGCGATCTTACACTATGGAGGTAAATTTCGAAAATTAAGCAGTTCTGTAAAATGATTATTAATTTATGACAGCGAACAAGACGACATTGTCAGCGCTTGTCTTCCTTTATTCATTACAAATGTAAACAATAAAATTCAGGTCTTTTCCCCCACTTTGTCTTTCTTTCGAAAATAACATAAATTTACATTATGAGTCAACAAACTTTTCATTTTCATCCCTGACACAGGTCCGAGGAATTGGTTGGTTGAGTGCGAGGACACCTCGTGGTTTGTAGAGATAAGCGTTGTTTTAAAAGCTATTTCAATTCTACGCGCCGTCAAATTCTAAAACCTTTCAAACAACCACAAGTGATAATAAATCATGAAAGTCACCGGCAATTCGTGCAATTTTTTGCTTTTGTTTCTTATATTACCAGAAAAGTGCTTTCTGGCTCTACTTTGTGTGTTCCTAGCAAGTAGTCTACAAATAATTTAGAAAATGCTCGAATATTTCGTTTCAGTTGAACCTTAAGCTATTCAGATACGCGCGATCGAGGCAGATCAGTGCAAGGCCAGTTTAATAAAGTTCCTCAGTGTGTTTCATTAATCGCTCTTCAGAAATTGAAATGCTTTGGGCAACTTGTAAAAATGTTTACACTGTAGCAGTCTAAAGAGTGCATTAATGAAATATCGTATCCCTTGTATCATTAGGGAAATCGAAACTAGTGTTATGCATACACTCAGTTCCATCCGGGCAATCGTGATTTGCTTGATCTTTCGAATCTCTGATAATCATTTAGCCTGGTTTGCCATCGAATTGTTCCGATCGCCTGAGTACTGCTTGAAGCCCAATCCATGCTAATGGGTCTTCGATCGAAAATTCACACTTTTTGATACGTTTTACCTGTCATTCACGCCGAAACGTCTGTCTGCGAAAACGGAGACATTCGCAAAATGGTTTTTAAAGTTGAGCGCATCTTTTTTCAACCGCTCCGTTTCTTGTATTTTCAAGTGAAAACGGAGGCTTTTAAAAACCAGCTACGAAATATGTGCCACATACATGTACATTCGCTTCCACCTGCATATTTGGGCAATGCAGTACGAACCACAGACAAAAGCGTATCAAAATAAAAGTTGAGAGCAGAACAAAAATGCTAATGAGATTGAAGACATGATATTTCATATGTTTGATACGAAGACAGACACTTTTGAAAATGCATTAATGCGTTTGGGGCCTGGTGTGGTCAAGGGATCCCTTCGGTCTTACGCAAAATAGGCCTTAAAAAATGAGAATGTTTCTCCTTGTGAAAATAAGCTTCTCAGTTTCACCAACATAGCACCCAGGACGTTAAAACCACAAGCAACTATAGAGAGTCATTTTAAGAAATCTTTTATAAAATTACACAGGCAAGATATTTCTTATATATAGCTTGTTACAAAATGCCTTTAGGCCATACAAATGAAACGAAACACGCGTAAAACTTAAAGTTTCTTCACAAATATTCTAAAACACTTCATTTCTAAACTCTACACAACTTTACACAACTGTAGGTTATGGCTCATTCGGAAAAATAAATTAATACACGTTGACAAGTTTAGGAAATGCTACCAAAACTCGAAGTCATTCTTAAGATCATTCTAATATTAAGATACCAATAAAATAGAGCTGATCAAATTTAGTAAGGGGCACATATTTTTCTCAGTCGTTTCTCATGACGTCCCAAAACAGACTGCTTGCTCAGGTGAGTCTCGTGAATAATTGTTACCACTAGCAACAACCTACCATTCATTTATCAATAAAGACATTTTGCCGAGATTCCAACGGCCTTTAGATTATCAACACGCCATTCATCTTACAAAGCTTGCTCTTCCCCAGTCCACCAAATAACTACTCTGTTTTATATCCTATAAAACTGGGGACCAAACAGCTATTGGCCTCTTTCAGTAACACAAGAGAAAATATTCATGACGAACACATATACACTGTATTCATAAACAACAAATACGAGAAAAAACTTTATTTACTTACTTAGCGTCAATAGAGCAATGGAGTTTTGAGTGCGTATTTATATCTTATTTTAAGAAAGCGACTATGCTGAGCGGATAATGCATGTCTCTGTGGCATTCTTCATCTACCGAGACGGGCCGTTTCGGAAACTGAAGCGAAAAAAATGTTTTCAATTTGCGATTGTTTTCAGTAGTCTTCACCACGCTATCCAAATATACACTGACGTTCACTTTGTGACGGTTATTATGAGGTTACCAGCCACTGAAAGGCAATGAAGGCTGTTAAGGAGTACGTAATCTTTTATCTAATCGATCGGGAGGACCAATCTGAATATTCAACGCTGACCGGTCAGCGTGCGTTGGACACAAATTTATGACTAAACAAACCTTGAGCAAAATTTAAAAAAAAAAAAAAAAAAGGCCGACTGAGAAAAACTCTATATACACTCAACCCGCCTGTTCTGCAAGCTAAAACTCAACACAGTGTCACACAACAGAATGATTTGCCACAAAACGTTCGATTTGGCTTCGTAGCTCAGCGTTGGACTGAACTTCAAAATCCGTCAAGGTCTCGTTAGTCATCGGACTACTTCGCTTCTTTCGGAACCAACGACGAATAGCTTTGCGCTCGTAATTGTAACCATCAGATGCTTTTACGGGATCTGACATGATCTTATTTGTGATTGGACAAAGGAATTCGAAGGGTACTTCGGTGTCAAATTCCATTGCCGCTTCCGGTGGAGACGCAGGACTCACTAGCCGGACTTGGGAGGTAGCCGATGGAGGCCTGGGGGGAGCCGACGGCTCAGGAAGATGTTCAACGGTCAGCGGAGGTTTTTCAGGCAGGGGGCCTAAGAGATAATAAATGCAAGAGATTAAATTAATAAATGAACTAGGCATCACTCAAAAAAAAGTGAAAAAAAAAAGAAAGGTCTACAATAAAGCCTTCTGTAGCTGTATCCAACTAACCGGCTTCTTCCTCTTCGGGAGCCTGTTTCTTTACAGGATCACCTGTCGGTTGAGTGCCCCGTATGGGAGGAAGGACTGCTCTGGAAAGCGGAGCATAAACTGCGCCTAGAAGATATCCACAAAGTGTAATTAATAATAACCAAAAACAAAGACATCTTGCGAAACCTTTACGTATTCAAAGGTTAGAACGCTATTTGGCCAGCAGAAGAGAGTCAAAGTGAAACACAACGGAAACGGTGATGAAACCTTGTGAAAGATTTAATGGACAAAACAGAGGCTGGACGGTGCGATACAAATTTTCTATCCATTTTCTGTTGGAGCACAAAGTAAAATGGAATCCGTATTCGCGAGACAAAAATAAGCTCATTCTTAAAGTCTCCAAATAGAGTTTGGAGAATTTAGAGTAGATAATTTTAAGACGGCCACTATGTCATAAAACGAGGACAAATTTCGAAACTAGCTTGCTCTAATTTGTCTGAATAGCTTACCAGGAGCAGCAAGACCATTTAACACTGGGGCTCTGCAAGATAGAAACAATTTCAACTATAATTAAAACTAGCTATGGAACAGTGGAGGAGTATCAGGCCAGCGAATCAGGGGCCGTGAACGAAAATTCTTAAAAGACACGCGGCTGTTTTCCTCTGTCCAGTTCTGGACAAATCAAAAGTGATAACTGCCTTAAATTATTTTGGTTTACGATATAAATCTTGTGTTGTGTACTAGGTATGGAAATTGTTAATTTTGATTAGATTTGACCAGCCTAAATACGGAGTTCGCTCTTTGTTAAGACGATCCATGAGCTGTTGAAGAATTTGCTTCCAATAAAGCTGTTGAAAGTGTTCAGCAAGTGCAAATAGCAAACGGCGTGATAGTAGCGGCAAAGCATGTTCTTTACGCGACCCGACCCAACCTCTCACGTTTATCACTCCTTCGCTACTATAGCGCCGATTACTCTCGCGCTTCGTTTTAGAGACTGAACGCCTGGAACAAGCTAATTTACAAGGTGGGGTAGGATGGGGAGACACATGTCGAGCCAAGGGTTTGTTGTCGTGGATAGAGGGCCAGCTGCTTGAAATTTTAATGCTCTGTGACTGTGAATATACGAAAATCACACAAGTGAATTGGGGTTTAAAAAATGAATATAAAAACGATCTTCGAAGTAATGAACACTACTTGAGCTGTAGTGAAAATAAGGCCTAAAACAAATTCAGGCCCGTACGGGATTTGAACCCATGACCTCTGCGATATCGGTGCAGTGCTCTATCAACTCAGTTAACAAGCCAACTGGGGACTGGTCATTGTGATGTTTAGCAATAAACCCTGAAGTGATGAATCAGTGACCGTGAATGTTCCAAAATCATACATGTGAATGAAATAAGTTGAATGCCCAGTGATAAAAAGATGTCAGTTTGCATAAAAGAGCATCCCAAGTAGCTGTAAAATATAACGCCCAAAGGTAACAAAATCGTATTCTCTTTCTTTCGTCAGGCAAGAAGTTTCCAAAATTATTAATGAAATTGGCTGGCAATGGCAGGTCATACATGGATTCAGTAAATAACCAATCTCGTCAAAAAGCTCAATCTGGCTGTATCGGGTTCAATTTCTCTCAGGGATGCAGACTTGTGACAACTGAATCAATCACCTTTCACTATCGAACATCTTGAACAATTATCTGTCTATGGTATTATGCAAACATGACCTGTAAACCTACCCATCATCTTTTGCGGCCTCCCTCAGACTTGTCACCGACCCAATTCCCGTTGCTGTTGTAGAGTTGGCTGCCTGCCGTACGGAGGCCTCGTAAGCAGGAGGAGCTGAGTACAGCTGAGCGTAACCGGGGTTCTCGATTCCTACTGGGGCTATTCCTCCTCCGTAAGGAGCAGCGAAAGGTACGAAATAGTCCCCGGAAGCTGTTTGACTGTATGGAGGAGGTGCAGCTGTAGAGAGAGACAAGACCAAAGCTTAGAAACACACTTGGAATATGGAATTTTGTCTCTGCTTAGGTATGTATGTTTGTCAACTTTTATTTTGGGGGTGCAAAACTTGAGCATCGGGCAGAAACTTAAAGGAGGAATACAACAATTAAGGAACTCAAGCTACATGAGAAGTAAGATTTAGGATTGGGAATTGAACACGGGCCGCCGCGGTCGGGACGTGCGCAAAAAATGAAAAAAAAAATTAATGAAAACGACAAATGCGCTTTGTCTCTCCGAGACATTTCTAACATGTCGGCGATACATCGCGCTCCTTTTGGTCACGTCAAAGTGTTAAATTGACAAACCGCGCTCTCAATCTTATATAAACCGGGCAAAATAGAACCCTTACCTGTAAAGTAAGCAGTGGGTTCCTGGGCAGGTAAGGCGAGTGCTGGAGTTTGGTTCTGATTGGCAGTTACTGCTTGGGAGGTTTCTCGTGTTCTCGGGGACGTCTGCATGCGGATTGATTCCCCATCGCCGTACGATTCGTTACAAAACCCGTGACGAACTTGAAATGAAAAGAAATGAAACAAAATCGTCATTTTTCTACCAGATGCATCGATAAAAAGTAAAAAAAGTTATTTTACAGATAGAATAAAAGAAACCAAGATCAGAGGGAAAAAACGAGTGAAGATTTATGGACAATTCGTGACCAAAACTGTTTTCTAAAGGCACGCCATATGGCTGCTAAAATCGCTAGAGACGACGCCTGCTCTCCCCAGAGCATATTAGTAGGATATTTGAACGCCATGTCCTAGATACTAATATTCGAAAAACCCACACTGGAAATTGGGGGTGGTTTGACAAGGAAAAAGGCACATACATGAGGGGAAAAAATCGTATTCTATCGAGATCAACCGCTCTAGGTTTTTTGGGCTCATTCTCTTTATTACGCATTCTAGTTATCGAGTTTAAATAGATCTTTCTTTGTTTAGGCGATAGAGATGGTTAAAAAATTTTAAGTAGCGAGAGCTCTTATTTCCCGCACGTGGAGTACACAACGATAAAACGTCTACGCACGTACTGACCGGGTGTAGTGCTTTAAGTCTCTTAAAACGAAGTAGTCTCATACAAGTTACTAACAACTACACAAGCCAGAGAGTCACGGTGTTTTAAAAGCGGAGAACCATTTTTGATAAAACTCAAAAGAGACCGGTAAATCAACAAGATACCCGTACTTAAATAAGCTTTGTGTTTGAAAAGTCTCGAGTTTTCCGTTTCCCTTGTTTTGATTCCTTTTGCAGATTGCTAAGACAGCGGTTGTTACTCAATGTTTTCCTTGACAATTTTCCCCGAGAAATTGGCGCGTCGCCGGCCAAAATTGATCTCCTTGCGCGTGTCCGACTTTTGACCGCTGTTGGTATCAAATCTCGTTGCCAAAAAAAAAAAAAATTCAAGTAACTCTTGCTCGTATGATTCACTAGACATCAACGATTTAGGATATTTATATCGCCTTCAAATCCACAGAATAGCTAATACGCCAAGTTTTTCGATGGTCAGAGATCACGAAAACTGACCGCTGTTATATCCTCCTTCAACCTGAGAACGCGGACAAGGTTTCTGATAACTATTTCCAACTTTCAGAAGTTACCACGTTTTGAGCGGAAACGGTTGGTGAAGTGTTCTTTTGTAAAATAATAAGTGATCCAATCTGGAACTGTTCCATTTTCAAAGGTTTCTCTCAATAAACACGACCTTGGTTAGCTAATCAAAATAAAATGCACACCGGCCTCACAGTATGGCACTCACAGTATGGCACTCACAGTATGGCACTCACAGTATGGCACTCACAGTATGGCACTCACAGTACACACTTGTCCTCTCCTTACCTCCTTGATTTTGTCTCTTCTTCTTTTTTAAACGAACCAGTATCACTATGATAATAATCACCCCTAAGATCACCAGCAAAACGGGAACAACGATGGAAGCAATGGTGCCGCCACTCATGGCATCCTGGCGAGAGTCTGAAACAAAGGGATAGAATTAAGAATTTCTGGATTGACGGAAATGATAAATCATGTTCATGTACAAAAAGTAGATTCCCATTGGTGCGAAATATATCTGTTATTCACCAGCCTAGATCGGTCCGTATTGGGTAAAACTGTGCCGAGGTCTTGAGTTATTAATCAGCTTGATTTGCTTAAAAACAATAACGAAGCTAAGGATGTACTCGGCGACTTTCCAAAGCGTTACCGTGCCCGTGGGCAGAGAGAGGAAAATCTGGATCGCACTAAGAACCAATCAGGTTGCAGGATTCGCTACCATGCCCTTTGAGGAAAAGATAATATGCACTTATTACTGGCGGAAATTTTCTCTGTTGAGAAACCTTCGTTCCAAGAAGATGAGGATCAGATTGCATTCAAGGCTAATGTGCACCTTTTTTGTGCCAAAGGGAAGCTGCTACGGGCGAATTAAGAAAAAATAAAGGTGGTACCGAAAATACACAGAATAAAATGTAACAAAAGTTAATTCTCAAATATTCCGTTTTTCTATGTATGCTTTTACATGCGTTTGAGGAAAGACCTGGTGTAATTGAGCTTCCGCATGAAATGTCGCAAATGTCAATTAAAAAGGAAAAAAACAACTAACAACCTTTTTGCTTCTCTAGAGTGTTCTCTTCACGTGTCGCAGGCGGCTCTGTTTCAGTTAGAGGAACTAAGGAACAGAAAAACAAACAAGACTTCAGATAGCTGAGCTTCAAAATGCCACAAAGGCTCAAAGTATTAAGAAGCACTTGTAGTCATTTTTAGTCGCAGGGCACAAGAACAAATGCAGAATGGGGCATAGTCTTTCTCCCAGCTCCCCATCCCCTGCGTTCTCGTTCGTCAAATCCTCAGCGGCTCTTGTTTCGTTCGTACTCTAGAAAAGTGTGAGAAAAGAAGATCTCTGAACAGACTAAGGGTTCTGAAACGAGTTTTCGTATGGGTGTATGTATTTTAATGGCAATTCTTTGTTTCACGTCTTAGATAGAAGGAAGCGTGTTTTGTACGCTGAAGAAGTTGTGCAACTGTAACATAATACAACCATAAAACTGAGGCATATTCAGATTTTCAAATACCTACAGGCTTAGTAAAATTAAAATTAATTGGCCCACATTCAGACTAGCAGAAATCACTACGATAGCAAAACAACGCTAAAAACGTAGTTAACAAAAAGAAGAGCACGGTACAAGCAACAAACAGAAGCGGGACAACGCGCACTACATAGTAATAGATGGAGGAGGTTCTTGCCTTGTTAAACATTTAATTAATATTAGACTGCTTCAGTAAGTAAGTTTGAGTCAATCGGATGTCAATCGGATGTCAATCGGAACGTTTCCCAACACACGTTGTCTTATGTTTAGGTGATTTATGGATTATCTCCTTTTCTGACAAGGTTTTCATTAAAAAAAAAATTATAATCGGAAAAAAAATACGGAAAAATCTTGAAAAAGCCGTATTCATTATTATGCAAATCAACCGGGTCAGCCAGTTCCAACCTAAGCTAAACGCCCAACATTTGTGATTCAACAAATTTTACGCAAACTAACCAAAGAGTCAGGTAAAAATTGGCTCGTGTGCACCAAGATTTTAGACTTGTTTTAGACATATCTTACTAGTGATATCAGAGTAGAAAACTATGAAGCAAAAGGTAATCATTAACATTACCTTTAGCGGATGTTGGTTTGAGGTTAATCAATGTAGATGACGTCAGAATGGTGGAGGTTGGCAAGACGTTGTTGAATGTTGTCATGGTTTTGTCTGTCTGATGAATCGTTCCTGTTCGTAACGTTAAGCAATTGATGCGAAACAAAGCAAACAAATTGTTTTATAGTTAAGACCGATGCTTTCATATTTATCAATTTTTTTAGTATAATTGCTAAGATGGTTTAAGAAATGCCTGCTCTCTGATTGGTCGAGACTTGGTGGTAGGTATCGACCGATCTCTTTGCGCGAGGTGGCTATAATACTGAAGCAGTAATTTTAAATATGATCACTACACGATGTTTTGGTGTTATTGGAGAAACAATTCAAGAAAATGTAGTTATGGTTATCATCTGAGCAATTATACAGAAAGAATTATATCCTCAAAATAAAAGAACACTGTCACCGTTGTGATCAACATAATTTTGTTATCATTTTTCTTTTAATAATTTTTTAAATAATATGCGGATAACGTTACATGGAGCCTTATATGATGTAATAATTAACAGCCCGATACGGGGATTTACTTTTACTGCCACCCTCATCTCAAATTGACTTTAAAGACACACATTTAAAGCGTTTCCTTGTTATCCTAACAATCAGTTTTAAAGATTGACCATACATCCATCGAGTCTCTAGCAATTGGGGCTAAATCGATGTTAATTATGACTAATCAAAGTGACACTCAGTTTTTTTTTCGCTTTATCATTTGATTATTTGGTCAATTAAAATGTTATACCTCTGTCAGTAGAGTTCGTCGTCTGGACTGTAGATGTTAAAACTATCGGTGTGTTTGAAGACGGCTGGATTAATATGGCTGTACGTAGATATTACGGCAAGATTGTTAGTAAAAATTAGCGGAAGGCAAGATTCACTTCCGACAGATACTGTTTAAGAAGCCTTCAGCTTACGAATATGTTTTGTCACGAGAGTTCATTTAACAAAACTGGTTAAGAATTAATTACCAATAATTTGTTTAATGTTATGGTTAGTTGGGTAATGTAAAAAGAGGGGAGGACAGGTAGATTAAATTTCCATAACGAGATCTTCCTAGGAATCCTGTGAACGAACGAATTTTGTTCGCGTTTACAAAAGCAAATGGACACGTGTAAACGAAACCTGAATTTTCTCCGTCTACATTGGCTGCGCCTACAACTTCTGGGTGTGATTCCCCATCATGCACGGCGAAAAGCATGCAGAAAAAAGGGACATTTTTTTACCTGTCGAGGTCGTCTGGCTGGTCGTTGGCGGCATGTGCGTAGTCACGCTCTCATCACTAATATTAACTAAACGTGAACAAATGTGTTAAAAACGGGAAACTTAATCAAATCTTGCAAAACAGGACCATGTATTTTTCGGCTAATGATGAAATAAAATGAAGTGGTGCAAGCAAGAGGACTGAACTATACAGAGACAGTATCTTCACAAGTTAGGAAGGTTGAGAGATTACGCGTAGAAACCTATGATTAGCTAACGCATTTTAGTCTGCAATTAGCTCGTGTATGCTCAGCTTTAATATTTTTTTCATGAAAACTGTATATAGTGTAAGAAGTCGAAGCGTGCTGGAAAACCTCATGAGGAAAACTTAGGTGAAAATTTCATGTTTTCTAAAACTCATTCCTCACAGAATCTCATCGCGTACCTAATAACACTCTGCAAAAACGTTAACAAGGACTTGTATTTTTTAAGTTTTTAATTCGTTTTTCGGATTTTCTTTCCTACGACTTTTACCAATATTTTTTGACTTGATGCACCAGAAACGCATTTGCTAACTTGTGTCGAAAGATGGTTGAGATAAAAACAGCACAGAGTTTAGGAGCTTCGACGAATCTGGCGGTGAGATCAACGATGCGAGGTTAGCATTTAAAGGGAATTTTAAGGCACTAGCTGACTTTCTGACATTTCACATCGCAGACAAGTGATGAAAATGGATGTCGCTATGAGTCTTATATTTACAAGTATAACTACCTAGGTTGTTCATGTCATTCACAGCAGACAATTTTAAGAGAGGTCTCTAGGAAATTACCTCACAGCAATTTCAGTGAAGATTTTAATCAAGAATCTAGTTTATTTGATGATGATCAAATGAGCAAGGGAACAGAAAAACGTATATCAGCACACATAGATACAGAATCTTGTGCTGGATATTTCAAAATTACCATACTATGCCTTTGCAAAATTAACCACTCTTTATCAAACGAGAACTCTTGAGAAACATAACCCAGCTCAACCAAGTGTGAAACAGAAGTTTTAAGTATATATGCGCAGAATCGTTTATCTTTTGATATAGCTATTTGTTAGTGTTAACAGGAGTATGGTTTAATTTTTGTTTGAAATTTTATTATTAATTTGAATTTGAATAAAACCTTAACAACAACAACAAAAGCCAACCAGTTTCAAATTATCCGAGTGCATGTGCGTGACGCTATTGTCTTGAGCAAATGTTAACTGTGAGCATTTCATTGCAAGACACATGCAAGACCAGCAGTGCGGAATTACGGACAAAGCCTAGAGTTGTCGGCGTGGCCGTGCAGGTTTTTATCGGAAACAATACAAATTATAATCCTATACAAGCAACAATTACGACAAGAATACATACAGAACATGACACAAAGTGACACAAGAGCAAAAAGATCGCGCAAAGTTTACACAGACGCAAAAGTATCCTCTGCCGTTGCTATTTCATGTATTGGCAAAGCTAAGGCTAGGAATAAGAGTGACGTGACCCGTTCAAAGCCGAGCTTTTCACGATTGTTGTAGCAGGAAGCGATTATGCCGGGAGGATTGCTACCTCACCTTGCCAGCGCGCACGCACTCGTTATTGGCGCGTCTACACGAGCGTGTGTTTAGCGAGTGTTAAGTGTCTCTGTGCCTGAGGACACAACACAATGATTACACCAGGACTCGAACCAGGTCCTCACGGTCCAGAGATCGGTTGTAATCCCCTTAACCACCGTGTTCCTCACTATATCAAGCACGCCAAAGAAAAACAGCTAAATTTTCCAACCACGAAAAAAATTCCACCAACCTCTTTCATAGCGGAGATAAAATCCTTTTCCAGTGTTCGCTGAGTCAGTCACGAACACCAAACGTACAAGAGATCCTTTTGACAAAAATGACCAAGGCGCCGAGAAATCGCTAGAACTCTTGTCTGACGTTTCGTCCTCCACGCGCAGTTCGTCGCCCAGTCCACCTGCATGAGCTTCATGATCGACGTCCTCTTTCCTTACTGTCAAGTGTATTCGGTAACCAGGGGCAACTCGTATAAGCCAGCGGCAGACCAGATTGTTGTCATAATTTGAGGGATAGTTTGGACTTTGAACAAACCCACTGCTATGATACTTGTCCAAGTACCCAAATGTTGTGTTCACAGGGTGTGATATACCGTTACATCCTTTAAGAAAATAGGTTCCATTGTGAGTAGACGGCATTATTTATCACTGCTATGAAGATGCGCAGGAGAAAAGCCATCATAAATGAATCAAAAACCAAATTAAGTATACTTAACAAATGGACTAATATTTTTTCTTTAATAGAATATAGAAATATTTGAGGACAAAACTGTAAGGAAACTACCTACCTCCCTCCACCATTTGATAAAGTGGTAGTTGTGAGGGCGGAATAGTTGTGCTCATCGATGAGGTCGTTGGAATAACTGTGGGTCCAGCTGTAACAAAAACTTAACGTTAGACACTAGCATATGCGGGCGGAACGCGGAGGCCTGACAACTAACGCACAGAATCTATATAAGCCCCTTGCTTATGTGCGCAAGGGCGCTCTAGGCGCATCAAGAACGATTCGACATGACTATTTAGTTCTTACGTTTTTAAAGATACACCGCTCCTATCGGTTTAAGTACACTAAGAAGTTGTAGGATACACGAGCTAACTTACCAACAGCTTCGTATGTAAGGTTGAAACCTTTATAGTTTACAGTGGAATCAGCGTTAAATTTAATCCACATCACATTGCCTGAGGCAGTTACTGAATGGGTAACATTTCCGCTGAATCCCCCTTGCGGGGTAAGAAAGGGCTCTGAATAGTGTTTGTCGCCGTCCCTTATTTCAACACTGTCGTAATATTGTTCTAAAAAAAGGAAAAATAAAATCCATCGATTAAAAAAAAGTGGTACGCTAATTCAATCGACACATACACAGTATAAGAGTGCGAATTCATTGTACTTCATTTCAACGCTTTCCGAGGAACTATTGGCAATATCGAATTTTTATTTCTCGTTTTTCCTGATATTTTTCCTTTGATAAAACTTTATTGCGAGTAAATTTTGTTCGAGGAATTTCTTTTGATCAACACAGTGGCAGAACTTTTGGTAGAAACAAGTGTTCTTAAAAACCATTTTTTTTTCAGCATATGAACTCACCTGTCTGAAAATATTTAAAAGTGACCTTTGCTTGTGTGCCAGGCTGTAAGTTTAGAACCCAGATGCAAACAGTATTATGGTAGTATTTGTTCGGGAAGGCTGGCGATGATATCCAACCCTTGCTATGATCTCCAGCGTAGAACTTATCAGGAATTTGATATCGCCATTGTAAAAATGAAAATATACGTCTTGTACAGCCTAAAAGATCAATATGCTACTCTTCAACATTTTTATCATTTTCAAAGGATCTTTTTGAAGGTAGACAACTATGTCTGAGTAGACAGTCAGTGAGTAAACAACCCTTGCGACTTTCAAAGAGTCAGGTTCACGGTAACCTGGTTAGTTCGCTCATCAGTATGTCCTTCAGAGAGTCCGTCAATTCGCCAGTCGGCCACGTCCGTCCGTCCGTCCGTCCGTCCGTCCGTCCGTCCGTCGGTCGGTCGGTCGGTCGGTCGGTCAGATAATCAGACTATCAAGTTAAGTTAAAAGCCAACTAACAGTGACAGCCAAGCGAAAAAAAAAATGAAAGTGGTACGCAAATAAAAAATAAAAATAAAAAATGGCTCAAGACAAAACCATCGAATGCAATAAGCAATTTTACAAGATGAGAATATAAAGGCAAAAGTTTCAAAGAAGGCATTCGAAGATAGAGAACAAATCAAACGCTTGAATAATGAAAACAAAACGATAATTACTCTGTGTGACAGGGCTGTAACCTGGAATTTGGGTTGGTACTATCGCTGGATCTAGAAGGAAAAAAAATTTCATCAAAAGTTCGGAAGATAAAAAAAACAATTAAAAAAATACTAATAACAGTAATAAGCATTAGCATCATCATCATAAGAACAAAAATGCATGGTGATTATTTAATTACCTTAACGATTCTCAAATCACGGCCAAGTTGATTTTTATTTCCACTGAGACGCACACCCGCTTATTCGATCGTCTCAGTACTGCTAGTGCTGCTACTGCTGCTATTATTATTATTATTATTTTTCATACCTCACTGCCCCTTTCTCAAAAACAATCCTTTCCGACGATCTCACTAACGTGTAATTTATACGACGTAGTTTTCAAAGGCTGGAGGTATTTAACTTCAGCATCAATCAACCCACTGACAAACGTCTTTTTACCTGTATGATAAACAGATAGTGCCCAGGTCCCTCCACAGACTTTATTGGGGTCACCAAGACATGGCAATTGGCATGAAGTAGCATTACCGTATCTGTCAAACTGCAAACACAAATTTTTTTCAAGTTTACCAGAAATATATACCTTAAAATCTCGCTTTTTTCCAACAACTACCGTAAATTTCGGAAAATTTTATTTTTATTTCTCAATTTTTTGCATTTGATTTTTCAGTGACTTTCTGATCAGTAACAGAGAAAAAATAGTTATGAGGATTACTTTGCATTTCATCTTGCAACCTTCAATTGGGTTTAAAAAGTCATCCAGGACTGCTTTGTTTCGTTTCACTAACAAACTCTCGCCAAAGCGTCAACCTTTCAGATGCTAAAATGACGTCTATCGTGATTTAATTCCACGCATTTTCCCGCGAGTTCAGTCTGCTTTTTTTATTTTGAGTCGTCACTGGTTCATTGTAATATTTTTCTTTGCTCTCATTGGATGGATTTTACGACACGCGATTGAAACTAACTCCACGGGAATGTAAACTACTCACGTGATTTCCACAGTAGCATTCATTAGCCCACTCTAATCCTGCGTACATGAAGCCCTTGCTTTGACAACGACGTATGCACTTTACCGGAGTCATATCTTGGTTGGGAAAAAGGTAAATTAGAAAAGCATAAAATGTCCAAGAAAAACCCAGAAAATGGGGCGTACAATTTAAAGAAAAAAACATTTCACCGGTACCGAACTTATCTACATGAGTTTTATCTAGGTTTACCTGAAGATGTAAGTTGATGGCTCATAACATGATTCTGTGTATCTTTGTAGCAACCAATATAGGCTTCGTCTGAAAATGAAACAAATATTCCCTGTCATCAACATGTAAGAAAATCAGGCTAGGTGGAGGTATGCATTAGAAATGAAACATGTAAAAACATTTTTGTAATATGTCGCCCAAGATTTACACTACAGTAAACATATAAATACCGATTCACTTTTTGAATAAAACGCGGTTTAAGTGTGTGACTTCCATTAAACTTTAAACTTTGCATTTAAAATTTTTCAAAAATCTTATTAGGTGCCACGTGACAACTGACTCCATGTGGAGTTTTCCATTTGACTGAGGGGAATACACTCTTTGGGCGTTTCATCTCGTGGGATTCTTTTATTTTACAAAAAAAGGCCGCTACACAAATCGTTAAACACACCTGAGCATATAACACCAACATCTTCTGAGTGCCTACAAGAAGTGACTCCCCATCCCGAATTACCACACTTGACGAGAGCGCTCTCGTTTCCACGACAGTTGACCCTGTCCAGCCACACCCGTCCACTACCGGGACCAAAACTCTGATAAACCTTCCTCACGCTTGTGAAACCAAGCTCATAGCAGACGACTCGCGAATTTGCTTCTGTCCAGGCGTCATCACAAACTGTGCCCCATTCTCCTCTGTGAAACACTTCCACACGACCCTCCCTCTCGGAGCTGCCGCCTCGGAGTCGGATATTTCCTTCCGCTGTTCCTCTCTCTACAATAAACAAAACTGACAAGTCAGACAAAAATGGTTTGTGTTTAGTCACAGAGAACTGTTTTTTACCGCCTCTATAGTAAGTTTCAGTAAAGGGAACCTGAAAAAATACTGAACGGTTATCCGCGATCCAGGGGAGTAAAAGACATTGTACCCTGCTCCATGCCGCAAAAACCCCGATTAGCACACGGCAGCTAAGCTTGTGCAAGGTGATTTTTTTTTCTCCAGTGACTTACCAGAACAAATCACGCCAGCAAACCCATAGTTACAATTTCCCTCGTTCCAACCATTATTGGCACAGTCTCCCAAAGTATCTTCATTTCCTCGACATTGCACTTTTTTCAGTGAGCGAGTGACGCTTCCCACGGGTTCAGAAGTGATGCTTTCGGCCCCAGGAAAACCGAGCTGTCGACACGCCACAAAGGCATCATGGATATCCCAGCCATCGTAGCAAATCGGTTCCCATGAGCCACCGCGATATATTTCTACTCGTCCACTGTTGGTAGTGTTACTGTCCTGTAGCCTTAATGATTTTGTACTACCGCTATCTAGATGTTGCAATGAGAAGAACAAGACAAAAAATTACATAAATACTATAAGCTTGAACGAAGCAATTGCTGAACTGTTCATCCGTTTCATTGTAACTAAGTAACTAAGAATTTTCAATTTTCTTCCTTGATAAGCTAATTTGCGTGCTCTCGTTCGAATTTTCGCGCGTCTCTGTTTGGTCTGTTCAAAAATTCAATCGAAAAATTGAGAGGTTTCAAACGAAATACCGGCAAATTTTCGGAGAATATTAGAAAATTTTCATGAAATTCGTTCACATTCTTCCAGCGCAATACGGTTTACACAGGCAACCATTTAACCCTTTAACTCCCATGAGTGACCAAGACAGATTTTTACTTAAAATATTAATGCAATATCAACCAGATAAGTGATGAGAATAAAGAAAAATATCAATTTGGGATAATTAGTTGTTCCGATACTAAATTATCAGAACTAACATCATAAAATTGTAAGGTTGACAGTAAGGAGAAGTATAAATTTGATCTAGGAGTTAAAGGGTTAAACCAGCTCTAAAGCTGAACGAGGCTAGTCTGTCTGAATATCGCAGATAAATAAATACGACAAGTAATCGATCAGCTTCCGGTCTAGAACTTCCTACGTTGTCCGAAAAAAAAGAAAAGCTTATAGGGAAGGGGGGGTAAGGTGTAGTAGTGAGGGAGCGTTAAACTTGCTTATTATCGTTTTCTCTGGCCTACGGTACCTTTATCGCAGATGACACCAGCATCTTGTGAGTGAGTACAATCGTGACTCCCCCAACCGTTGTGAGCACACCGTCCGAGGCTTGTCTCGTTCCCAAAACAAGCGAGATCATCCAACCAAATAATACCCCTTCCTTCGCCAAAATGCGAACCTGCACGGATGTATTTAGCTCCGCCGTACCCCAGTTGTCTGCAAACGACTTCGGCATCATCGTGGCCCCAGCCATCATCACAGATTGTGCCCCAGGTACCTACACGGTATATCTCTACGCGTCCCTCGAACGAGCCAGCTTTTCCATCCGTTAGACGGACGTCATAATTCTTGTATAGGTGTACGACTAAAGTAAAAGAAAGATAAAAATGATACGTACTCATCGTACTTCGATTCCGCACAAGAGATTCAGTGTTCTTCTTTACATCCCTGTGTAGTATGCTTTAATATCATTTAGAGTTGCTCCAGTAGCGATATTGGTGGTCGACCTTCTCCCAAGAAACCAGGATCAAAGTCAGTACATAAGCAACTACGAACCTACCCCTCCCCTAACACAACATTAACCCTTACTTGTTCTCAGTTAATTGTTGCTGGGTTAGGAAGGGGTAGGTGAGCAGTTGCTGAGACATTGACATTGATCCAGAGACTGTTAGCATTTATCGCTTTGCTTTAAGCGCTTTAAAGAATTATCTTCAATAAGAGGCCTACTGTTACTGTTAAAAATTAGTGATGAACCATCAAGAGCCTTGACATAAAGTCACAAAAGATAAATTGGCAGACAATGCACTGATTTGTACTTCCTTCAAAACAGAACCCTCTTGCTTGAAAGAGACCCATACGTTATGGAATTACAACCGGGTGATGAGTGATCGATCGAGTGCTCACAGACTGTTCCTTACCTTCGGACGGGTAGCACTGGGGCGAGAAGGATATATCATCAATAGAAATATCACCGTGGAATGTGTAGCCTCTCTCAGCTTCAATGATAACCTGAAGTTTAAATGTGTGTTAGTTGACTTTATAAGGTGTGGAAAATTCCAAGGTATACACATCCAAGACACAACTCACGCTACCTACGAAAATAAAATCTAACATTTGTTATAAACTCGACACTCTTTTACTGATCGAATAATTTTAATGCCTAATTGAAGCGATAAAGAAAATGGTTACATCTGACAAATGAACTACACGAGTTGAAAAATCAATTTGATGGTGATTTCATAACGGTGCAAAACCGGTAAATTAAGTTAAAATTAATAACATCCTATTCGTGACGCGATCCTACAACATCCCCATATTTACTAGCCTTTTTTTTTGTGCGTGCATTCAAACGACTGTTTTGTTATGTTTTTTTTTGGCATTTGTTCGCTTTGTTTTTCTGTGAACTGCTGATGTTGGTGTTTTTGTATTATCTTTCTCATTTTTGAGAAAATCAACGAACAGGAACAAAAAACACAACAACGACCTGTGCCCTAGGCCTCACCTGAGATACTGTCCAGTTTGTATTTATGTTGACGTCTGCACGGAGCCACTGGTTTCCTTGGTTACCAGATTTTTGCCACAAGGGAGATGTTTCATCACCAGTGATTGTGTTCCTCAAAATGACTCTCAGTGTTCCCACGGTTCTAAATCCCCACAATCCTCTCATGTGATAATAAAAGCGAAGCTGAAAAAAACAAAGTAAATAAAATGATCTATTTCACGAATCAAGACTACAATCAGGTGTCATAACAGAAACAATAGATTAAACAACAAGTTACGACGCCTTTTTCTCTTAGCTCCGCCTTGACAAGTTATTAAGCTAAGGCACTATCCCCTTTAGAGGAGAGCGCATGTGATCTTCGACCAATGAGAGCCTTCGTATTTATGCTGGTAATATTAGAGATCTACTATATTTTAGCCTTTGCAAGTAAAAGTGGCGAGAATATTAGGCATTCTGCCCAATGCAAATGTCCGATTTTTTTTGAGAAAGATAAAATTATGAACGTTTTTTTCGATTTGTCACAAGCGAGAAATCCTCAAAAAAAAAAAAAAAAAAAAAAATCCATTCTTTGTCCTGAGCTGGTAACAAATGTCTAAAATATTTCTTTTTGCCCGGTTGTAATTGAATGGTCTACTTGAGGTAATCAAATCTATATAAAAACCTATGCGAGTTAGTTTACCCAGTCTAGACATTGCGCTTTCGACCTTCAAATACTACATTGTATTTATAACCGCGAGACGATCATATACATAAGCATTTCACAAAACTGTGCGAAGCCCTTACACGATTTACTTGTCAGCACCTTCGGAGGTCAAATCTCCTAACAAGGCATAATCTTAAGCATGAGACGCATTTACTACATGCAAAGAAATTCGACCAATAATACTTACCGTGCATCCAGCCACATTCTGCCACATAAACTGCGGACTGATGACCCTTGCTATATGCCCTGGCGCTCGAGGACTCGATGCTTCTATGTATAGGTAATGACCTAAAGAATGAAGAAATTTAAACACTCCTTTAAGAGATTTAAATTGCATCGGTAAAAATTCCGTTCCACTTTCTATTCCGTTTTCTTGAGAAAGAGCTACGACATGTCCTTCCTGTATATATATATATATTTTTTACTTTTTGTTACTGTTGTTTGTTTGTTTGTTTATTTCCTTCTTTGCTGTTTTTGGTTCACAAACACACCGGAAGTTAGCATATAAAAATGTTTACACTTACAGATAGCGACCGAAAAACGAATAGGAGAAAACATGGTTTCATCGTAAAACACATTCCCGTAGGTTAGAAGGGAAGGGTAGAGGGACATATGAACATCCCCCCCATCATCCCTCTTTTATACGCTTTTCGATTATCTTCAGTTTCTCCGTTACTGCCTGTCATTCGATAACCGTCACTTACCAGCCCCTCGGTAGCCCTTAGTGTGATCGTAAGAGGGTCCAGTGTCAAAGCTTGCTGTGCTTCCCGTGTGTCTCTCCCAGTCAAAATCATCATCTGTCAAGTTTTGCCAGTGACACATGTCGACCTCAAAGTCACACCGGCCGGGTGTTTGAAGACCTGAAAAGCCAAGGGTTTCAAAGTAAAAAAAAACACTCATTATAGGCACATCTCACTTCTTGTTCGCGTTCAAACTCATTTGCAACTGGCCTCGAGTTGCAGAGGTTATATTCGTCTGTGTAGCGTTAAAAGTGTAATATTCAGTTACATGTAAATTTAAATTTTTACAAGTATTTAGCACGCGCAGGTCAAAGATGGCCGCTCAATTGAATAACGTACCGCAGTTTAACTCGTCCGAGCCGTCAAAACAGTCATCGGTAAAATCACACTGTTTGGACAAAGGAATACATTCGCCACTTCCACACTGTAAGGTTCCATCCTTGCAGGTGACGTTTTCTGAAATGCGAGAAAAGACGTTAAAAAACCGATTCATAAGACAACAACTATCTTTCTAAAAGAAAGACAAGAATTATTTCGCAGTACCGTGGGGCGCAGCTCGGCATTCCGGTGTGAACGAGATATCATCAATCGTTATGTCCCCGTGCGGACTGTATCCACTGTGCTCGCCTTCAAATGTAACCTTTACAAGGAGACAATGAGTTAAAAAGTGACGCAGCGCTAAGAAGAGGTAAGTTGTGCTAGAGTCTCAGCGCAAATTGTGATCTGTAATAAAGGTTATGACAGGCACTTTTTTAATTGCAGTGCTCTTAACCCTTTACACCCTAACATCGGTATGCATATTCTCCCTACTGTTCTCTATACATTTCCTAAGACGCTGATAAGGAGAATTAGTTTAACAATCAAGAGCTTCTTCAGTTGGTGATCATTTCCTTTATTCTCATGACCTTAATGTTTGATTCAGGGGTGATTTTGCGAGGAGAAATTAGATGCTGGTCACTCTTAATGCATATCATGCCCGCCAGGTCTAAGTTCTCTAATCGTGTGTGTGGATTCCTTCTCTTTCCCCCATAAGAAAAGCTGAAAAAGATGAGGCCAACAGCCTTACAGTCTTTTCTTACAGTCTTTTCCAGGCTCTTTTCGACCCTACACCAACTGATAAACAGTCTGAGAGATAGCAACGAAATAGTTATGATCAATTTCGATAGAGGAATTCTCAATAAATGCTGGTATAAGAACTCACATAAAACGAGGATGACATGTTAAACAAGGGCACTTCAGCGCGGCCCCAATCGTTAAGTTGCGAATAAGACTTCGTCCACAGCGTCCTCTGAGAGTACCGGTCAGCGGCTAGCACACGGAGAGTACCAATCCCGAGTCCAAACAAATGATAGTAGAAGCGAAGCTTGCAAAGACCATTGTTATCGCCTGTGAAGTCAATAAAATGTGAAAACAAGAATTTATCAACTTGAACAACTGCACTACTTGGTAAATCATTTACAAAGATAGAAATGTGGAAATACAGGATATTTTAATGGTAGACAAAAGGCATCTAAACACTGAATGATTAGGCAATTATTCATCAACCTCGAAAACGCGGAGTGACGAGTATTCTGGCTTTTTCACCACCCTGTCGACCAGACACCTCCATGTATAAATAATATCCATTGGCATTGCCGTTATGATCAGCTGATGGACCTGAAATTTAAACAAAAGTAACCTTGACATATGTTCTTTGTTGTTCACGTTAAAAATTCAGCCAGCAAGAAATAACTTTAAGAAAGAATTGCAAATATAGGTATAAAGTTTTCAAACAACGGAACTGCGAAATAATCCCGGCTATGGTTTATTCCCAGCAAATTTGTCGTAAACGGTAGGGGTTTCCTCCAAAGCTGGTTACCGGCGGTCTACCGCCGCCGATATTATCTGTTACCGCTGTCTGTTTCGCCCGGCTGCGAGCAGGCTTTCGTGTGTGTGTTGCGCCCTAGGATCCCTTTTGTAGCACATCCCTCTGTCACACCATTAGCAGCCGCTTAGGGAAAAAGTTATTATTATACCCCAGACAAGTACACAATACACAAGCACCGTGTGGGTAATCAACAGCTACAATAGTAAATGTCGTCCGTAACAACCTTTTCTTTGGGCATCTCACTGAAGTTTCATACCAGGGAACTTTACTTATAATTCTAGATCTACCTTGCTAAAGAAAATCTTAAGGTGAAACGCGAAAAGGAAATTTGATTTGTCAACGGTATAAAGTTATCGACAGAAAACTTGCCGGTGGCGTGAGAACTTCTCAATGGAAGAATTTCAAACTTGCCAATGGATAACTTGACGAGGGAAACATGACACGCAGACCTTGCTTGTTGCTATGTTACTGAAATATTCCTACAGCCTGCAGAAAAGGCAACTTTCAAGGCGAGCAGGGCACACAAGAGGAAAAAGCTAGCACAGCGCAAAAGGCCATTTCCACGCGAGACGAGGAGCGCGCAAAAAAAAGACGCCTAGCCGCACATTTTTTTCACGCTATCTGTCATCTCAAGTTACCTGTGAAGATGGATGGTGTATTGCCTTTGTGCCGTGTCCAGTCCATTTGGTCGTTTTTAGCCTGAAGCCAGCCGCAGATGTTTGTGTCGTTGAAATCACAACGCGTGTAATTTTGGCAGTTAATTTCATCAGAGCCATCCCAGCAGTCATTAGTAAAGTCGCATAGTTGAGCCCGAGAAATACACGCTTTGTTACCGCTGCCATCCACCGGACAATGGAAATGGGTTTTTAAGGGACATACAGGAAGGATACCTGGAAAAAGGAAATACATATTCAAAAATATATACATAAAAAAAAACCCAGCAAATCTCCTCATGAATAAAGAATTAACCACGGAAAGAAAATTCGCATTAAAATGTTTAAAAAAATTTTCATTGCTTTTGCACATTAACTGCGGCGGATTTAAGGCCAATTTCATTTTGAAGACGGACATTTAGGATATATATGGACTGAGATGAGTGGAGAAAAACTGAACATCACAGCGGAACAATACAATTCTGAAAATACAGTCATCTACAATTCATCCGCCGACTGAATAAGCCAAGATAGATAAAGACCACTAAATGAATTACCGCTCTTACCTGCACATTGAACTGTAACTGTGCTGTTACTAGGACAAGTTACGTTCTTAGAACTCTCTCTAAGAGAACAATCTTTGATTGAAGTCTCATCGCCTTTACAACTAACGTTGGAGAGTCCAGCGAACATGCCGATCAGCGGTGTACCTAAAAGGATTAACAAAAGACATAAGCGAGAGTCTGCCCAACAAATAAAATCAGTATCGACGACGAAAAACCCACAGCTAACTTATTATAGTGAAATCTTGATTATCCGGATTTTTCGATTATTCAGACTTGTTTCTCTAGACCTTAATATCAATTAACCTCACTGTGTGCGACACACACTACTGTTAAAACACTATAGAATCTAGTAATTTCACAACTTAGTTTATCACGACAACACGTGTTAACATGGCGCGTTCACTGCTCTTCTTGAGCTCCCGTTTTATTTTAATTCTATTACTATGTTATAGCCTTAGTCCTATAAGTATATGGCAAAATCAAATTCCAAGTGGTGAATCTCTCTTTCTGTCACTAAAATTGGACAGTAGAGTTTTTCCAAGTCGCAATAACGGTCCTCGAAAGGCGAATGGTGCTGTACTGCCGCCATGTTTAAAGGCCAAAGCTTCTCTTTTCGTTTTGGAAGTTGGATTGTCTACTCTATTTCTACTTATGTTAGCTGGAGACGTCTCTACTAATCCAGGGCCACAAACTGTACGTCCTGGGAGCCAAGGTATTGGTGAAAACTCAAGCTTTGTTTCGCTTACAAGCGATGAAGAGTCAGCTAGCATGGACGATACTGTTGAGTTTCATAATGACTCAGATGATTCTTCGCAAAATGATTTATCGCCTGATGGCTTTGACTACTTTAACCTACATCTTGGTCATAAAGGCATACGCTTTGGTTCTTGGAATGTCAACAGGCTTACGACTACAAAACTAGAACAAATAAAATTGTTCCTTCTTAATGAAGATGGTCGACCACGTTTGGATATTTTATCAATCAATGAGACGTTTTTGAAACCGCTCCTCCCTGATTGTCTATACTCAGTCCCTGGTTTCACAGTGCACCGAAAGGATCGGATGGGCCTGAAAAATGGTGGTGGGGTTCTAATTTATGTGAATGACGATCTGAAACATCGAAGGAGAGTCGACATTGAGCATAATAATAATATAGAAGCATTGTGGTTGGAAGTCTTTCCATTCAAATCTAACCGTCCCATTTTATTCGCCGGCATTTACAGACCTCCTTCAACTAATTTATCAGAGGATGAGGCCATCGAGAATATGTTAGAATTAGTTTATCTATTAAATTTAGAAACCATCATTACTGGCGATATCAACATTAATTTTATTTCTCCGGCGTACAAGAAACATCCCTTGGGACGTGCCTTTTCTAACATGAATTTCAAACAGCTCATTACTGAAGTTACTCGACCATCAAGCGGAACCTGTCTTGACTTTGTATTGTCAAATTTTCCTGAAAGAATTAAGTCTATTGTCGTCAAAAACAATGGGCTGTCAGATCATTTGCCTGTATTTGGAGTTCGTTTATATGAGGATAACGCCAAGCGTCAAAATAAATCTTTAACGATTAAATATCGTAATACGAAGCATTTTGACAAATCCGCCTTCGTTTCCGACCTCAAAGAAGTTCCTTGGAATACTGCATTTGTCTTTGACGATTTAACTGATATCTTAAATGCATGGATGGGTCTCTTCATTAACATCTTGGATGCCCATTGTCCGTGGCGAGTAAAGAAAGTAGCCAAACAAAATCAAGCTCCATGGATGACTGTGAATATTTTACAAGCGCTTCGCAGAAGGGATTCTTTACTACGTAAAGCAAGGCAAAGTCGTTGTGTCACGGATTGGAACTGCTTCAAAATCGCGAGGAATAAAGTTGTAAACATGATTCGCAGTGCGAAATATAAATACTATAATACCTGTTTCAACAACAACAAGGGAAACTCTAAAAAGATGTGGAAAACCATAAAATCACTAATGGGCGATGTATCAAAATCAGTTGAGACGCCAAATGTTGTTTTGGCCGAAAAGTTCAATGATCACTTCACTTCAATTGCTGATTCACTGAGGAATCTACTACCTAATGTACCTTATTGCAATTCAAAGGTTGAAAACTTTGTTTGTTCAAGAAAAGATCCGGATGTTCTTTTCAATATTCCTCCTGTTACCAAAGATTTTGTGCTGGGTGCTCTGTTAGGACTTAAAACAAACAAAGCTATGGGTATTGACAAGATAAGTGCAAGATATCTGAAAATAGCAGGACCAGCTATTGCTTATTCAATTACTCAAATCTTGAATATTTCAATTAATTCTGGTGTATTCCCTGATTGTTGGAAGATAGCGAAAGTCATTCCGTTGTTTAAATCTGGGGACCGTGAGGATCCTGACAATTATCGACCCATTTCGATATTACCTGTTTTGTCAAAGATTCTGGAACGTCATATACACGATCATCTCTATAATTACTTATGTGAAAACAATCTACTGTACCCTTTACAGTCAGGTTTTCGGAAACACCATGGAACAGACACTGCTCTTATACGAGTCATAGACAATTTGTTATTTAATCTAGACAATGATCAAGTCAGCGGTCTTCTTTTAGTTGATTACAGGAAAGCTTTTGATATGGTTGACCGTGAAATTCTTTTGCAAAAGCTGAATGCCTATGGTTTAACTCCAGTTGCAAGTAAATGGTTTAGTTCATACTTGACTGATAGACATCAATTTATTGCTATTGATAATGTGACATCTGACTCTACTCTTGTGAGGCATGGTGTTCCACAGGGTAGTATCCTTGGCCCTTTACTTTTTGTCATTTATATCAATGATTTGCCTCTACATGTTAATGGTGCTGACCTGGATCTCTATGCTGATGACACCACACTGACATTATCGGCAGATATCTCAGCGGTTGATTCTCTACAAGATTCACTAGCTGCTTCTTTGAAGGAAATTGAATGCTGGACGCACACCAATAAACTTCCTCTCAATGAAAAAAAGACTAAAACACTACTGGTCACAGGCAAACGCCTTGGGAAGAAACTACCAGATGGTTATAATTTATCTCTTAAAACTATGAATGGTGTATCATTGGAACAAGTACCCTCAGCTAAACTTCTTGGTATAGACATTGACCACGATTTATCAATGAACACTTATGTTGACAGACTGTGTAAAAAAATTTCACAAAGAATTGGAATTTTGAATAAGATCAAACTTTGTTTACCATTTAACCAAAGACTTTTATTTTATAATAGTTTAATTAAGCCATTATTTGATTATGCCAATGTTGCATGGCAGTCACTTTGCTCTAATGAATCTCTTTTAAGAATACTTAGGCTACAAAAGAGAGCTGCTAGGGTTTTATTAGATGCTGAACCACGTAGTTCATCAGTTATGCTATTCAATCGTTTAAAGTGGATACCATTTTATGACTCTACTAAGATGGCTAAATGTTCAATACTATTTAAAAGGATTAATTATTGTGTACCTAATTATCTTAATGATAGCTTAAGATTATTAAGTTCAGTACATTCACGCAACACTAGATTTTGTAAATACAACTTTTATTACCTAAGTTTAAAAGGGCTAGAGAAGGAGGGAAAACTTTTCTAGTTTCTGCCATAAAATTATGGAATCAGTTAAAGCCTGAATTAAAAAAGTCTAATACACTTAAGGCCTTTAAAGACAACGTATTTAAATATTACTATAAGGACCAATCATGCTTAGCTCATTTTAATCCGTAAATTTTATTGATAGTAGTTTTATATATTCTTACTTGTTTTAGCTAATTTTCTATTTATATTTCATTCTATTAATGATTCTATTGTATTTATATATTTATTGTAATTAGGAGGACCACAAGTTTATTAGTGTTTGTGCACTATCACGTGCTATCCTCAATAAATAAAGTCTTCTCTCTCTCAAGTAATGATCCTAATTCACTTGCATCACCTACATACTGAATAATTAGTTAACATTGTAAGGAGGAATAAATTACTGGTTACTCCCTGAAGTTAAAGCTTAGGTCTACTTTGAGTGGCTGAACACTTAACCAAATGTAACTCACAAAAATTTTATCATTAAGAGCTTATGTATCAACAAAAACAGAGATTACCGTCTGTTGATGCGTTTTCGAATCCCAGTTCTCTGCAAGCAACGAAGGACTCTGATTGGCTCCAACCGTCACTGCAAACTGGTTGCCATAGGTCTTGGTGATATACCTCTACCGCGCCCTCATTGAATGTTGAACCATTAACGAGACGCACATAGGAAGGCGCTAGGAGAGAAAAGATAAGAAGGTGATTCCATGCTAGAATGCTTCTCTCTCTTTTCAATTACATCCATCTTGCAAACTGAGAATTGCAGTGTTGAACGTGAACTTATTTTAGGCATCATGTGCGCAGGAAAATCGTTGTGAGAACTGAGCACCTTATAAATTTCTAAACCAAAAGTTTGGTAATAAAGGTAAAACGTTGGTAATACAACTATAAAATTTGTGTTCGCGGGCATAAGTATATTTTGAACCCGACTCAAAGTCATTTTAGCCCGAGCCACTAGGCAAGGTTAAAACAGTCACACTGACCTGAATGCACATTTTTAAAGTACAAGAAACAGATAAGAGGGTGGTTCATTTTTGCATACCTAGTCTTTCACAGCCAGCTGTAAATGAAATGTCGTCCAATGCGATGTCTCCCTGGTACTGAGCGCCACGTACACCTTCAATTATGACCTGCAGGCAAAAATCAACTCATTTAAAACCTCTTAATTTGCGAGTACATTGACTTCTCCTGTCAGTCTGCAAGAACTGATAGAATTTGGGTGGAAAGTTGCAATAAACCTTGCCTAACCACAAATTAGAAGTAAGCAAAAGCGATTTGAATGAAAACAAAATTGGCAGTCTTATAAACCACTCCAGGAAACTTCGTCTTGTTGCTTATAGTTTTTCATTATCGGGCAATAGGGAGCAAGTTTGATATTTAGGGGTTGATTTCTGCTCAGTTGTACTGCAGATTTAAATAAGATTTAATCCTGTCAAAAGAAAATAAGGCCAGGAGCATCCATCTCTGTCCTCCCCTTTTCTCTTGATCACGTTCAATAATGCGAATCGCAAGTGTGTGATTTGAAAATGACACGCAAAACAGGCCAACTGTGCAATTGCGGAGTTTGGCTTACATCATTAGAAACGCTAAGACTGGGTCATGCAGAACATACAAATCCCAGAGACAATAAAAATATCATAAGTCTTTCAGTGATCAATTCCCTTCTCAGTGATTATGGCTTAATGTTTCAAACACATCTGTTTGACATGTTTTTACAAACCTGAAATTCCGTGTCACTGTCGAACTGAACTTGCCGTTTAAACCAGTCGGGACCTTGGTTTGTTGTGAGTGACAGTTTCTTGACGGGAAAACCTACGACTGGTTGTTGATAGATGTTGAGTGCACCTATGTGAAGTCCTTTCATGTGGATAAACAAATCCAGCTGATAAAAGTGAGAAGAGAAAAAAAAGGAATCAAACTTCCCGTCACCTGGATGTTTACACATTTGCTATGCCATTTCGGAGTTCTTATTTTGCGACAACATCGACTCTGTCTCTGAAGTTGGAATTCATAAGGAGCCGATAAGAACTCAGAGTCATAACAAAAAAAAACTGCCATGACACGGGAGAAACGCTTGTGACCAATTCACGATTGATTTTGGTCTTAAATCTGATTAGTTGGAAAGGCCGCGTAAATTTTCCCGACCAATCACAGAGCGCAGATAAGCAAAATCAACCGAATCAGATCTAATCTTTAGCTCATTCACTCTGACGAGGGGCTAACGAAATGTCAACTTGATAAAATCTTTACAATTTCTAATTTACACTATCAAGCCAGTTGATAAAACCAAATAATTTTGTGATGGCCACCCCCCCACGCAACACCACAGTTTCTTTAGAAACTTGCTCCCCTCAATTCCGGATTAGTAACCATCTCCAATTGAAAAGTCTTACAGATGACTAATAACTGACCTGGCAAGTGGTATTCGGATTCACGGGGGCCAACGTTGGGCTAACTAGTCTCGCCTTGTGATAACGCCGTCGAGGCAGAGACGTTTCAATGTAGATATAATATCCATCAGCTGTGAAATACAAGAAACGGGAAACAAATTTAGACGTCCATTATTTATTATTATATATCTAACTCGTGCACTGATAGGGAAATGCAGTGGCTTCGTGTTTAACATCATGGACTTCGGATAAAATCATTTGTTCGGGTTGCTAGATCTTTTAATGTTCCAGGAAAACGAAGCACAGCAGATACATGTTAATCGTATCAGCAAGTTCTTTAATGGTAATTAAACGTTCCGATAATAAATTCAATAGACTCTTAGAGTAGATTTGAAGTCTTGGTTTGTTTGGAGACAATGTTATTTTCCTCACCATTTCCTTTGGTATGATCCGTAGTTGGGCCAGTATTCCTGGAAGGTGTCTCGCCTTTGTATCTTCTCCAATGAAAATCACCATTATGTGACTGAAACCACTGGCAAAATCCTTCTTCAAAGTCACACGGCCATAAGGGTGCATCTAAAAATTTCAAAAAAGTATAAAAATTACATGAAAGGAGAAAGCGATCAAAGGAAGGTTCCTTTAATGCTGTGGAATGCGGAGTAAGGTTTCAACCAGCCAGATTATTTTGTTCGTTTTTTCCCGAAGCATCTCACCGGGCCGCAACCGTAAATCCTCGAATCGGTTTGGCTAATCGTAACCACTCCATCTTTTTAAAAGACGGATCACGCTCTAGACAAATTAGAAAAATGCAAACCATTGGCAAAAAGAAAAAGTTTATACTAGTGTAGGTCGGTCCGCATGGGAAAAAACTATGCCCTCGGTCTTGAATACAATTTTATCCCATACGGACCTCCCTCCCGATAAACAACATAAATGTGTTCCAAGACGCTTATCTCCACTTAGGAGCACAACTTGGTGTCATATTTGAACTGTCAAGGAAATGTGACAAATTGCTGAGGGACGTTCCGTGCAATCGACCGACATCTTGAAACAATATTCTTTTGTGTTAATAAACAAAAATTAACAAAACTTTCATTCCGCGATTGAGTGGGCTGATGTTCACCTGTGAAGATCAACTCAAGGATAAACATTTAACCTTAACTCCCAAGATCTCATCAGTAATTCTCCTTACTGTCTGCAAAACGATTCTCATTATGTTAGTCTGGAGAATTTGGTATCGGATCAATTAGTAATCCCATGATTGACATTTTTCTTTAATCTCATCACTTGTCTGCATGATATTGTATATATAAAGTAAGGAGAAATTCCATCTTGGTCACTCACGGAAGTTAAAGGGTTAAAGGCGGTGGAGATTACAATCAAAGCATGTTACCTGGTATATAAGTTTTGTTTGCATTCGGTTGTTGGCCTTCGCCAGCTGAAGAAAAACAAGAACAAAAAAAAAAATGAGTGGAAAATATTTTTGGAAAAAAGGACTAATAAAAGATATTCAGTCATTTAAAAGGAATCATCTTCGAGTTCTCCACATTCCATTTTGCAAGACTAGTGCAACGCAAATTTCTGTTCACACTGCAACGACAAGGCAAAATACTCAATTAGGTGTGACTCGAGGGATCAGAGCGAGGTCTTTTCGACAGAAACACTTTATGACCCAAGAGTTCCTTACCAGCTCGTCTCTTGCGTATAAGCAAAGCATCATCAGCACCCGCTGAAAAAAAGGAAAGAAAGGGTTAGAAACGCTAATGAATCAACAGTGAATTAATTAGTCAGTTGTTGCCCACTTCAGACGGGTTTCCTTGCACGTCTTTAAAGGTCGTACACTTAAAGGTCATAGACTTCACTCTTTACCCTTTTTTTAAATGTAGTTTGGTATAATTTCGTTAACCGGTGGCAGAATCCCCAAACTTAGTTGGGATAGTATTTGAAACAAAGTGCATTGGACTCTTTCTTCCCTAGGGGTGAATCAATTCGCATTCAACGAAACATGCGTCGAGGACGAATAAAGTCATCGAGTGAAGAACATTGTGACTTAACAACAAATTCCAGAAACTAAAACTGTACGAAAGATACAAAGGAAGGTACAGAGGATTAAATGGCTTGTCTGCAAAGATCAACCTGAATTTTAGTACTGACACATTCCAGGACATGTCAGTCATGGCCGACTCTTATAGAAATGCACTTACCACATGAAATGTCTGTGGAGGAGAGGCTGCCTATGGATCGTCCCAAGGGGTACTTTGGAGAAGAACAAATACCTTCTAGGACAACATTTCTTGCCGATGATAATTCTTCCTTCCATTCCAACAACGTTTTCAAAGAACAGTCACAAGCCAAAGAATCTGACGTGAAAACTCTGGGAGATAAAATTTGAGGCAATATTTAAAATCAGCCGATTTTATTTACAACTGCATGAAAATGTAAACCCTGTTTTGGTCATAGGCATGCTATGGCCCTTACGATCTACAGCGTTACCCAAAAACCATCCGTGTGATTCATATACAGCCTTATGTTTCGCTCTAAAATCTTACGTCCAGGTTCCCGTTTCTCGTAGATTACAGAAACTTAACGGGCGGTAAAGCCGTCATGTTTTCATTCAGGAAGGAGGTTTCAAATGACAAAACTATCAGCTAAAAAAAGACAAAATGGATTTGTTGAGGTGCCAGAACCTGCTTATCTGTTCTTTAAATTTTCATTTGGAATATGGCTTCGCAGGTACGTTACAGGGGCCTTTGTGAAACGGGTCTCTGAAGCCTGTTTCTCGATAGACCCAGTAAATTATCGATCCCAAGGAGCTTATTTCTGTAGGTCGTGTGTACATTGAGATCGACATATCGATGGCTTTTATTATCAAACAAGAGAAATATCAAGAAATTATATGGAAATTATTGCTTTTTGAGCTAAAACCCGCTCTATTATCCTTATATTTTTAAACATTTTTTTTTATATTTTAAAACATGGCTTCGGACCCGTAAAGTTATCGGGACTTTCAAGAAACGGCCCCAAGGGTTCGACTGATATCAAACTTGGCTGTTTTGCGCAATTTGCGAGTTCTTCTTCTCCAAACTGACTACGACTACGAGCAGCCGTTGTTTCGTTTCTTTAGCGCAATTGTCAGTGCAACTCATGATTTCTTTCGCTCTATACCTAAGTTTCCTAGGAATGAAATTTTGTGCGGTGTCATCGAGCAGGTGAATCAAGGAGGTGGCTCTAAAATGAAAGTTTATAAAGATAAATAAACCGCTGAAGCAATTTCGAAAAGACTCTATCTTCAGTTGCATTGTCTGTTACCTTAGTGTTGGTTGTAATCCGAGTTTTAGTTACATTACCACATCACAGAAAAAAGAAAAATTAATTTAAGCTATAAAGAAAACTAAAACCACGCAACCTAGCTAGATAATCGCACCAAGCGAGACTCACTCGCGAGTAACACGCGACTCGTAGCAAATAAAAATAAAAGTCATTGTAGCAATTAGATAAACAAAAGAAATATACCTTTACGTCAATTGTATGCGTCATAAACAACAGCAATGACTCAGCTCTTGAAGTATACAATAAAGCGATAATCAAAACACGCACAACAAAAACAGAGCATGCAAATGACGTGAATAAATGAGAGCAATTTGAATTTTCCGTTTTTGAAAATCACGCGTTATTTCTATGATAAAACACGGCTTCGTTACCAGACATTGAAATCAAAATTACTTTCACTTTCAGCGTTACCGGAGAACAATACGGTGCTCAAAATAAAAACTGATTGACATAAATAACCTTACTGTTTTTTCGAATAACAATCGTCGACAGGGACAGTTTGAGATCAGTCAACGACGTTCTTTAATTTAACACCCACGCATTTTCGAGGCTCTTTGAAGGTTATTTCTTGATTTGGCAACATGAAAGTCCTCCACTAATGTCTTAAACATTCGTTCCATTAACAAAATGGTAATGAAACATTTTCCGAAAAAGTCCCAAAATCACATTTATCTTAAGAGGTTTCCGAGAAAAGGTTCACCTCTGCGATTTCATTCGAATCTGTCTCGAGAAAATCGTACGCGCAACACAAGCAAAATTTGCAAGTTTAGGACCAAGCTTTCCACAATTACCCTCGAAAGTATCATGTACTTTTAGAAGCCATCTTAGGACTTAAGAAAAAAATTTTCCTTTTTAAGTTGTCCCTAACACCAAAGCTTCCCTTAGCAAAGTTGAAGAAAAATGAAACGGACTTTCCAAGGAGTTGTCACGAAAGGAATTTGTCAATATGAATGGCTACCGCTATTAATAATAGTTTGCGATTGAAGTTTTTAAAATTAACTAGTCTTCGAATTGACCTAAACCCGCAAATGCTGAAACCAATGATTATAAAGAACCTAAAACTTCCACATAATCTGTGGTCACGAACACGGAAGGATATTTTTTCGCACAACACCAAGCGACATTACAAATAAACATACTCGAAGAAAGGAAATGCATCACTAAGCCGCATTCTTAAAAATCCACAATTGAAGAGAACTAATTAAAAATGCTCGCGGCTTCCAGTCTTATTTCTGTTCAAACTAATATACAGACAGCAGATGTATTCTTGATAATGCGTTCCTACGATCAATAAAATAATTTCACATCTCCTGATCCATGTTATTCCAACCGGAAACAAAACAACATTAGAAGAAAGAAGATTGCAGTGGACCGCAAAATTAACATTCAGGCAATTTCTTAGCAACTTTTGTTAATAGCACTTCGTGTATATATCCAGAGTATTGGTGTTGATATTACGGGGTAAAACCAAACTGGTAAAAATAAACCTTTTTTGAGGTCTGAACATTCAACGGGTTTTCTAAATCGCGATCAAATAAGACAAGCTTTACTACTTCCCGTCAAACCCACCGGTCCAAAACGCATTTTTTCATCTCTAATAATAGCACGTGTGTCTTCAAAATATTATGTAGCTAAGACCTAATGTGCATAAATGTTTTGAGATCAGTTTGTTGCTAGCGCTTCAGATATGAGGTTAGAATTTATTACGAACTCAATATTGCCAACCGGTCAAAGTAGACATCTTAAACGAGTTGACAACGGGTCAAAGTTAAAGCGATAGCCGTCTGCCACTCTAGCAAATACACGTATAGTGTCCTCTGCTTATTTTCTTCTGTTCGTCCCGATAGTAATCGAACTTATCAATGTTTTTACGCATTTCCAATCTACATTGATGTGTGCGCGACACAATGTTGCTATAAACTAAATGCGAACAAAAGTTTTGAGGCCATTCGTTGCCATTTCAGTCTTTTCGATATAATATTATTGTTAGAAGTAACGAACTCAATATCGCCAGGAAAACATATAAAAAAAATTAGCATAAGAGATAATCCACTCTAATACCCAGCAGCTACATCTCGCGTACATGGAAATAATTCAAAAAATATTATTGACAAAAAAGCTCAAAATCAATAGGTCGACATTTGACAACCCTGGCGCGCAGACGGTGACATAAGTACTATTTTTAACTACACAAGGAAGTGATTGTACGTAGAGTCAAAATCTATAAAATCTCTCGAAGAGAGATCGAAAAATAAAATTCTAATCAACTCGAACTCGATATCTGTTAGTGATTTGCCTCTAATTATTACCTGGCACATCATTTTTTTCACCTTAGCAGTACTGTGAGATTCGCTCAGAAAATATTTCGGAAATGCCAGAGAGGAAGAGGAATGCTGTCCGCGGATCAAGTTCGTCGCTTGCTTTCAATTTTTTCGAAATAAAAATACGGTTCACCTTAAAACTGCCGAAATGCTGTCAATAGGAAAGGTTATTGAAACAAGGCCTCTCATTTTAAGTTGCGTAATCATCAACTTCAAAAGTGACCTCGAATTCGGTATTATTCACTACGCAATATTCGCAACCTCGAAAACAGTAAAATGTCTTCCCAGGTGAAATATGGTTCTGAGGCAGCTTATCAGACCTTAAGTTTGGTGTTCAATCAACGAGTATCAAACGTAGTAGCAAGTATTCTGGTAACATATCACATCATTCATACTGTGTTAATTTGATGGTTCCCAAGTAGGTTTATGATTGCAGTTAATGAATGCGATTCAAAACATCGAGGATCCAAACCACGATGTCATGGAAGTTACAAGACACAAATTTCATTTTCAGTTACTCTGTCTGCCTGGCTTTTGGTCCTTAACGAACACAAAGCTGAACGATTGAACTGCTTACTGTCTCATCTCGAAGCAAGTCACAACATTTACATATAGCGGGCAAGACGCACTACATATTATATTCATCACCGGCTAAAACAGGCATGAACAGAACGTTAAATCAAATTAAAGGGATACTCACATCCGCTCTGTTGATTTACCAATGTTCTGTGCGATCCGTTCCGGATCGATTATTTCCTTGCAAACGAGTACCTTCTCTCTCGATCGATATTCGCAGTTCGGTCGTTGATGGCCATATATCCCACCAGTGATGCAAATCAAGTAAGCAAACCACAAAGAATGCTTGAAATCCCACATTTTTAAGTACAGATAGTCCTCTTTTGTTCCTCTTATTCAGATTGTTCTCTTTTCCCAAGATCTGAAAGGTAACACGGAGAACTGTGATGAGTTGATTTGCTTGATTTAGGATCGATGCTTTGTAAACACCGACATCGACATTGCAGCGTCCGCCTCTTTGTACCGAATAGTTGTTTCGATCTTTGTGTCACGAAACGTCTTTTTCCGCGATTTTAAATTTACAGCGAGTGCGAACTTCGATGTATGATGTAACTACAAGCAAAAGAACGAGAAAGGACAGATAAAATAGTATTGGCCAGCTTGTGTCAACGAAAGACTAATGTTAGTAATTGTATACCGCTGGATACAGATACAGTCATATACAAGTCACGCGTCTTTTTTGCAGAATCATCACAAACGACATGAGCTACTTCCTGCAACCTGGCTGAGCATCCGCTAACGCTAAAGCGCGCGCGGAAACTTAAGAAACTTAAATTTAGCCGAAGGGTTTATGATATTCTAGTCTACACAAGTAATAACTTTTGAAATCGGTTGAGAGATGTTGATATAGCTTACATGCATGCTCGTCAAGAACTAAATTGAGATAGAACTGGTTTTTTTTTGTTATCTATTTTGTTTTCACATTTGTTTTGTTTTTGTCAGTTTGTTTTGAGATTTGGTTCTTAATTTAAAAAGCCGCTGCCATTTTGCATTTTGAATCATGATTTTCGCCTTTTTAAGAACATGATCAGTCTCGCGGTAAATATGAAAGTTAGAAACTAAATTTATTAGAAAACGAAAAGAAATGAAATTAGACAAGCTAGAAACACGAACGGATATAGTCTAGAATTATCAAATTCCAAATATCCTTACTATCCTTATCTTACAAATGTCGCTGATTTACCACAGCGCAGCTTTTGAAGTTTTAACAGATTCTTCTGGGAATATTGATTTGCGCGCACGGGTGATGACACTTACAATGGGCAAATGCTTCAATAACTTGAACAAAGACTGGAGACAAGCTAGCTAGTCATTAGGGGATTACGTGAGAAAAAAATCATGCAAAATAAAAACCCACCGGATCGAAGTTAAACTGCGGTTTAAATTTCTTGACCAGGGTTCGTATTATGGCATGGTACGGCAAACAGTGCTGAAAATAAAACAAAAGAAGGAAAGGCATTTAACTAATGCATGAACAATAATAATCTAAAGCAAGTTTTAGGCCAGAAATTTTCATGAAAGTGTAATACGACAAACTGTGACTTGAATGTTTTTAAGCTTCACCCGGCAGATATAGTTAGATCAGTTTAAGAGAAGTTTCACTCAAACCTGATCTGTTATAAACGTCGAACGAAATGAGAAGAATGAAAAGTTATCGCTCTGTACAGCATGCTACGTCGAATCGGGAACGCAATTCGCTCTGATATATAACTGTGCCTTGCATTGGAGAAAATATTAAATCTTCCATTTTTTTGCAAGGTGTCTGACATAAATTCTGATAATTCAACTTTTCACTGTTGCAAAGTGCACCAGTGACAAACAATTTGATCATTTCAACTCACTAGATTATCAGTTTGTTTCTTCTTGCACGACTGAAAATTTCAACTTTGGAGCAATATAATTAACTCTGAAAGCGCGAAACAAAATCGGCTCAAAAATAACAAATAAACAAATAAATAAAACGAGAACTAAAAAACAGCTCACTGTTTAATTTAGGCGGACGAAGATGTTGCTTGATTATCCAACTCGTGTTCCCTAATGAAATTTCGTTAGCAGTCTTGAAGACTGATATTTCGTCTTTTGATAAATATGCTTCAATACAATATTTCTTATGTTAATTTCAGTGGTGAATAAATGACGTATTTTAAACACGTGATTTCGCCTTATAATTACTAAACTAGAAGTTTAGGCGACAGGTGCCATAAACAACAAAATACTGTAATATTCTAAAAAAAGAACGCCAACCTTTTCGTGTTTCATTCTTTCATTGAAGAGAAAGACGTTAACTTGAAATTACGTTGTTTTTCTTTTCAGTTTTTCTTTTTTGCATTACTCCCATACCAAGAGAATAGATTTTAACATTTCAATTTAAAGTTTTTTTTTTTATTTTCTAATTTAAGGTTCCAGTTTCAGATGTTGCCTCTTCAAGATGCTGTTATTATCTTAAGTTTTCTTCCATTAACCAGCTGATCGATAAGGGCTACAAACCCTCTGGTGAAGGGAGAAAAAAAATATCGGAAATGTCCAACTTAAGAGCGCTGAAAATGATTTATTATGTGCCGAAACTCTGCGCCTTGTCTGACGAAGTCAAAATAATTCGAGTAATAACACATCGTCCTTTCAGTGGAAATAACAGAAATATTGACAATTGACAACGAAAACGACATCGGAAATGATATCGATTACGACATTGACAACAATAGCGAAATGACAATAACTTTGATAAGATTAATAGCAGGGAATTTGTAGTGCGCAAATTCCGCGCTCAAATGCTCCATCACCCTTTGCTCACCATCTGACAGCCAAAGTTAGAAGCCTAAAACCTGCACTTAGAACTTAGCCGTTGGAATTTACAGTAGAGTAATCAAGATACGAAGGAGAAAAAGAAATTTAGAATAAAACTGAAACATGAAATCTCTGGAAAATGACAACATTAAGATAGCCTGTAACAGGACATTCAGTTACTAAAACAAAGTGCGTTAGCTAACTGCGTGATAAATACATAGTTGCGGGAAATAAAAAGACGAGGGGGGCTTGGATCGAGTCATACCTAAGCCGCATGTGCATAAGAGTTATTGAGCGATCACCATGGGTTAATTAAGTCAACTTAGAAACCCAACCAAGGTAACTTGATTGTTAGAAGGAAATGCTGCCTTAGGAATTTATTAAGCGAATGAATAATACTTTTCAGTGTATATAACTCGTTTTTACTCAATTTTTTGGCGCATGTGTCATGTCCGAAATTTACGATGGGAAATCCAGCCAATATGGAAAAGCGCACATTTGGGCTGTTCTCGAACTCAGGTTCCTTTGAGAAATAATTTCTTTGCTTTATTAATTAATGTGTATTTTGTAAAGATGCGCAAACCCGGGAGTCAAGATAAACACTCGCTTACTATCCCAATCACAAATTTTGCTTCAGTCTCTGGCTTTAAAGGAGAAAATTTGAGAAATACCCACGCTTTGCGGGAGATTATAAAGCTGACCTAAGGGTTATAGAACAGTTGACCGAAAAAAACAATTCCTAGAAGGTGGGATTTGCCCACCTGCGTCCCTAGCTCTGTCATTTCCTAGATATGTAATTGGAGCAATAACCTTAGCTTGGTTTACAAGACTGATAAAACTGAAGTGACTTACAGAGACGAACGCCCTGTCATCAAATAACACAATAGTTATACCCAATCTCTTGTTCACACGCCCTTCGGCTGAATCCGACGAAACAAATCATGTCGCTTTAGTCTCGATACTTTGGTTTAAGATGAACTCGTTTTAAATGCTCAATTAACACTTATTTAATCTCTAAATCTAACTTGTAGCGAGGCGTGCGCGTAAACGGTCAAGGTCATTAGATCATAACTGTTTTCACTTCAAAAAAAATTATATCACAGACTCACTCAAGAGCTCTTGGCATGCCTAAGCCACCTGATAATCACTACGCAAGGACCCAAAGTGGCTTTGCACAGCGCGTCGAGCCTTGTTTTCAGTGGGTTGGCTATGTTCAGCGACGGACGCTATCCACGAATTGGGAACCATGCAGGTACAATAAAGCCTTGAAAACTCCCAGTTGCTCACCAATTAACGATAGTATAACCCCCGATTTGCTGTAAGTTCGAATCGTTTTCTTAATTTTATGTGCCTTTTCTGCTTTTGATTAATATTAGTAATCTGATTTGCCTTTCATTCCGACTTGCCAACTTTGTCAACTTTGATTAATCGTTGATGGCATGATTGCCAAGCTTTAATGCACAGTCCTGTTGTGCTCATCTTTGATGGACCATGAAAGCGCGTGAAATCAATGGCAAATACTACAAAAAACATGCAACGCACAGAATGTTCCGGGGTCACTCTGCCGGAATATTTTCGTTTTCCACGCCCATGCCCACAAGTTTTCACTCGGCCCATATCTTGTATTTGAATTTGTTACTTTATATCTAAAAACAAATTTCTGCTCCCCCCCCCTTTTTTTTTGCTCTGTTTCGTTGATGTTGTTTTTTTTTTCTCTGTTGTGTTTGAAAAGGGGTTTGGAAACGAATTACTTACTTAGAGCCTCTGTGTCTGTTACTTCAATTGACCAGCGAGATCGTGGAAAGTCTTGACCAAAACGGGTGGCTCTCGATGACATGGCACCTACCCGAGATTATCAATTCTTTCAAGGCGACTCTTTAAATTAAGATTTTAGCTTCCTGAGAGCCTTTTGTCTTCTAAAAGGTAAATTGAGATGACCCATAAACGGGAATTGGAATCCTGTATTTCCCTAGTTTTTAATGCTGAGAAAAACTTGGATGGCGAACTATTTTCTTCTCTTTTTTTATTCTTTTTTTACCTGTTATTCCTTTTATTTTCTCCTCTCTTCCATCCTTTTCATTTCTTTCTATTTCTTCTCGTTTCCACTTTTTACTTTCCCTTTTTTGTTGGAGTTTAAATCAGATCCTTGTTGCCTTTCCTGTGGCTTTGAGGTTAAATTGCAAACGATTAAGCTCACAGACCGAATTAGATATTGACGACAAAAAATTAGGCTAACCGCAGTCGCGGCTTAATCGTTTTGTCGCAATAACAATCTTCAAATGTCAAAATTTTGACAGATCACGTCCTGTCATATTTGTCATTTACAGTTTACTTATTACATGACACGCTTTTGAAGCCCTGTCAGCATTCAGTCACGTTCCAATGAATGGGGGAATTCGTGCGTCACACATGGAAGCCGATATTTTCATCGTTATGAACTGATGTGGGTTTACAAATTTGGAAAACTACTGGGCTTCGAGAAAAAAGAGGCCTGCATATTTTGTCGTGTACGGTACTAATCTTTGTCACAATTGTTCAAATTTCTCAAAATTGCTTGCTCATTTCAAGCGCGGTATTTCGCTAATACCCTAGCATCGATGGGGTTGTTAAAAATGGCTTTTTTCAGAGAGATTTAAGAAATTATTGGTAACCGTTGCGTGTCTTCCGGCTGGTATACAGGATGTTTATTCGTGTTAATTTAATTGCTAAGGAAATGTTTTGTTTTCAAGAATGTTAATTGGATATTTTAACCATCATTCCTTATATGAATTAAGATTACCACGTGACGTTCCGCCATCTTGGTCGAAGCCTCAAAGGTAAACAGAGAAGAATTAAGCGGGGTGAGCGGGTCATATATCCGGAGTGACTCTAGCGTTTGGCTTTGATGACGAATAGAAAACTCTTCCGATGAAAGAAGCTTCTTATAGCGGGCCAAATGGTGAGTATTGTATCAGAGGAACAGAAAGATAAGCCGTTAATTTGTGGCCATACTTCGTACGTGAAACGGAGAGAGTTTCTCTCAGTAATGATATCTCGGCTAGTTTAAATTTTCTTGAGCTTGTTTGAAATTTTAAGGTTATATTCTCGGTGAGTAACGTTTTCTTGTTAGAATTTAGATTTCTAGCTTTCTACTCTCTGAAAAAACTTAAATGTTTGTACGTGTTTTCGCTTTTAACAGTGGGGAATGAAATTCGATATATTTCAAATGCTTCAAATGGACCGGATAGAAATCGTAAAAACACGTTATTAATTGTTTCTTTTGGTTAGCAATGAAGTAATTTACGCCGAAGATGTTCGTTTTTCACACCAATCAGTCATTTATTTGGGATAAAAATAATGGATGAATGAAACAATAATTAAAATATTCCCCGGTAATGAGAACTTTTTTCCCGTAAAAGGCGAACAACTTGAATTTCCATTCTGTATTGTAATTCGAAAAAGGTTCCCGACAGGTTCTTTCTTTGTTATGGTACATTCAAAAGTAGTTTACAAAGTTGTGATGTTGTATGGTAATGGGATTATTAGTGTAATCTTTCTTAAAACATGTTTGCTGTGACATTGCCCAGTTATGAAGGAGCAGAAATATGAGACTTTCTATTTTGCAATCATCGTTTTTAATCGGAATATGAAATGCACCAAAATATGCGCTCTTCTATATCGAAATGTAATTTCGCAGCGTGAAGCCTTCATTTATTAAGCCTAAAATTTGCATCACCATTCTTTAGTTTGTGTGTGATCAGAACAAGAAAGATGTTTCATAAAGCACTAGAGACAAGTAAATATGTACGTTCAAGGTGTTGTCATAGAATGAAGTTATGATTATCATAATTCTTTTAAGTGCATTCGGTCGTGCAAATAATTTCCCGGCGTCAATTATACTCCAACACTTTCAAACCTCCACCACACAACATATTGCTTCACATTTAAGGATTCATTTGATAATTTTGCTTACATTCTTGAGAATATTGTACAGTATTATATTTAGATCTCCATACTCTATCACTGAACAATATTTGATGAATCAATTGACGGTATACTCATTTGAGAGTGGTCAGTCCTTCCGAAGAGAGGTGTTAAGATGAATTTTTAATCTTCAATCATTGTTTTTACGGCTATCAGTTTGTAGATTTTCATGTTTTATTATTCATTGAAGAGATGTGCTTCGTAAGTAGCTCTTTGGTGTATTCATTTTGTAGATTTATCGAGTTCTAGTAAGCTTAAACTGATATTTTCTAGAGTTTTACCTATGTGGCCAGTATCTAATTCAGTTTGAAATATTTCCAACATTTGGATAGATACTGTTGTTCAGTTATTGTTGATGTG